CTACTATGCTTACAACCTGAACACTGCAAGTGCCTTACTAGATGACTGTCATCTCTAGACACTGTATTACATCTTTAAAGACACAGGAAAATGCATGGTTATGGTGCTCATTACTGAGAACCTGTCTTCTGTCCAGCAAAGTGTCCATTGGGAGCACTTTGGCTCAGGCTCCCTGAGGAGCTCTCACTGATATGGACCCTTCCTGTACCTCCAGCCAGTTCCATGGGTGTAGAGAGTGAATGGCAGGGTGCTCATGCTAGAGTTCATTAGGCAGTAGTGCCGGGCTGAGGTCTTCAGAAGTTATTCCTCCTTCTCCGGGGTCTCATGGGGCTATTGCATCTTTCAGTGTCCACACAACGTGGAGAACTTACCTCTTCCTCCTGCTAGGTCCTAGGATGGGACTCTGTATGAATTTAGAACTTCTGCTGGAAAACACTGAAAGAATAAGATGTAGTGTTGGAGTGAAAATTTGATTCGTCTATTCCTTACTGGATTATTTAACCCTCCTTCTACCAAACCTGGTGCTCTCCCACTTGAGTCACACCTCCACTTCTGGCTTTTTGGTGGTTAATTGGCGACAACAGTCTCACACACTGCCGAGGCTGGTTTCAAACCTTCATCCTCAGATCTTAGCCTTCTGTGTTAGCTAGGATTACAGGAATGAATGTGCCAACCCAAGGCACATTCTAAGTAGTCAAGTTGGAGTGTGAGGTGTTATCAGTATGCAACTAGTTTTGATTTATGATGTTACCAGTTCCTGAGCATCACCGTGACATTTTTTCCTGGCATTTTTACAACTGATCCAGATCACTGAGATCACTGGCACTTCTGTCACCACTTGCTCGGGCAGCACACGTATAACATTTCACAGACTACCGGCAAACTTGTTCTCATCAAAGAATTGGATCTCAAGGATCTAGTGGCCATAGCTGACAATCAGGGGGGGATTCTCCATCAGTAAGTATAGGAGAATGTTGAAATATATCCATTCAGTTTTTCTCGAGTGTATAAACTTGTCTAATCTTAGACAAGTTTACTAATTGAATTTTTGTCTAAATAGGTCAAGATTTAGAAGTAGTAACAGGGTAGCTGTGCTTTAGATGCAAAAGGCAGAGTGTGTGAGATGGTGGAGAAAAGGAAATGAGGTGACTTCAGGAAACTGCATCAGTACTGTCGTGAAATAGATATCTCCAGGCAGAGGCTCTTCAAACCTTTCTCTTAAGGAACATTTGAAAATACAGTTTGTTTCCCCATTGTTTCCCCAGGCAGAGGCCTTCGCTGGCAGATGGGTGGCATTTTCACTCAGTGATGCCACAGGTGGCTGAAATTCTTTCTCTGTCTCTCTTCTTGTCCATCCCCAGGGCCCTCAAGGAGCTCCTGCTTTAAAAGCTTTATCAGAAAGCCAGAAAACACAACAGAAATCCTAACGCCATGTAGGTAGTTCAGGTGTCTAATTGAGGACCAGAAAAGCTTGCTGTAATGGCTTACTAATTTAAAACACATCATGGATGGAGCAGCCAAAGAGAATTTGTTTGCTTTGCAGTAGGAGAAATGGAAATAAAATTAATAGGGTGTCAGTAAATGAATTTGAAAAATGTAAGGCAAAGGGATTAGTGGTAGGAGCTCAGGTAGTTTGTCATGTGTGGGTTAAAGATAGAAATGGCAAAGGGTAATTGTTGGCTTTCTAAAAATCTTAGATTGCCTTTATTTATGATACATAAGCTTTAAGGAATGATGAAATATATTTACCTAGTAAGTAAAATAAGCACAACTAAATATTATCTCCTCATAAATATGTAGCAACGAAACAATTTCCACATAAACACACTTTCAGTCTATTTGTGTATCAGATATTTACCGTATTTTACATAAGAAATGAACTTATAATATCACTGCTAAGGAGTGCCAGATATAAATAAATGGGATACCCAGATGAATTTGAATTTCTGATAAATGATGACTACTTTTTTTTGCTATATATATCACAATATTTGGAGGTGATATACTCAAAAATGACTCATTCTTTGTTTGAAGTTCACATTTAATTTAACAGATTTGATTTTCATTTGTTAACCCTGGCAACTCTATCACTAAAGCAAATTCCATCAAAAGGAAGATGCAGCTCTCCAGGAGGCAGAGATTACAAGGATTGCAGTTGGAGGCCAGCTGGGGCAAAATATTAGTGAGACGTCCCCATCCTACCCATCAATACTTACTTAGGGTTCATAAAACTCACTATATCATGCCATGTACCCCACTTCAATGGAACCTCATAGATAAATGTCTTCATCAAAGCTAATGTGTGGGGAGGAATATGGTGCAGAAGACAATCTGGATTCAAATCCCAGGCCTTGCACTGACTTTCATGGTAGGTCACAGGACAACAGTGAGGTCCAATAGCTACATGTTCAGGGATGAGAACAGAACTGTATACAGTGAGTGCTGTTTTGAGCCACTACCAGCTGACAGTTTAGTAGTGGTCATTTAAAAGAAAGCATAGACCTTGAGTATTCTGGATACCCTTTCCTTTGAGAAAATAAAAAGTGGGCTATAGAGTCCTAGTGCACCTATGCTGTGGCAAGCACAGCATAGATTTATTAGGTTAGAATATTAGGGTTTTATGGGTCAGGTGACCTACACAGAACACTCGATGGTTTAAAATGGAACTTGACTTACTGTAAGTCAATTACTAAAAATGGGTATTATATACAATTTTGAGAATGTTATTTTGTTATGATTGTAAAAAGTTCTTTCCTTCCTTTCTTTTCCTCTTCCTTCTCTTTCTCCTCCTTTTCTTCTTCCTCCCCCTCTTTTTCCTCCTCTTCTTTCTCTTCCTCTTTCTTCAGTGTTACTGGGTTTGATTTCAGGGCCTTGGGCTTACAAGGTAGGTTCTTTACCACTTTAGAAACACCCCTAGTCAATTTTTTACTTTAGTTATTTTTTTAGATGGAGTCTTTTTGCTAGCCTGTCCTTGGACTATAATCCTCCTCTTGGACTGTAATCCTACTATGTTTGCTTCCAGTATAACTTGAATCACAGATGTGCACCACCATACCTAGTTTGTTTGTTGTAAGGAGATCTCATTAGCTTTTTGCCTAGGCTGGCTTTGAACCACAATCCTCCCAACCTTTACCTTCCATGTAGCTGGGATTACAGGTGCATATCATTCTGCCCAACCTCTCAAAATTTGTTTCTTATGTAATCTGTCACCTTTGCTTGAAAACTACGTATTTTCATTCAGTGTTAAAAGCACATTTCAAATTTTATTTTTGTGGTGTTGAGGTTGAACCCAGGACCTTTGTGGTGTTGGGGATTAAACCTAGTACCTTAGCTGGGCGCCAGTGGCTCACACCACCAAGCTACTCAGGAGGCTAAGATCTGTTGATCACAGTTCAAAGCCAGCCCGGGCAGGTAAGTCTGTGAAACTCTAATCTCCAATTAACCACTGGAAAACTGGAAGTGGCGCTGTGGCTCAAGTGTTAGAGTGTTAGCCTTGAGCTGAAGAGCTCAAGATCCAGAGTTCAAGCCCCATGACAAAAATACAAAACAAAACCCAGTAGCTTGAATAAGTTGGCAATGCTCCCCACTGAGTACACCCATCACCACTTCACATGTTTCTAAGAGGTCTTCTGTGATAACATAGTACAGTCAAAGGTATTTCTAAAATAAACTACAAAATGGTTACATTAACAAGTTTTAGTATTTCTTGAGAAGCTTCCAGGCTCACAATATGAATAATTCACCTTTCTATTTGTGTTTTGAAATAATCCAACTATACCACTTTAGATGTCCTCATTACATTTCATTGAACATCAGCAATTACATTTATGAAGAATAACAAAATAACATTAAAGCTATATTTGAATAAAACATCTCAATTCTAATTTTGAAATCTAATCAGAAATACAATAATAACTCACCAAATACACATTGTCATTCTTAGGTTGTTTCTTTTAGGAGGACCATCATGTTAAGAAAACATATTCAAGTTAATTGCTAAAAAGTAAAAGTTCTTTAAAGAATTTCTTTGTTTTGATTTTAGACAGGGTCATGCTGTGTAGCCCAAGTTGGCTTAAACTTGAGATCCTCCTGCTTCAGTTTCCCAAATACTAGAATTATAAACATATGCTACCATACCAAGCTAAAAACAAAGTTCTTTTAAAAATAATTGTTAGCTACTCAGGAGGCTGAGATTTGAGGATCACAGTTTGAAGCCAGCATGGGTAGAAAAGTCCCTGTGAGACTCTTATCTCCAATAATTACTCAGAAAAGCCAGAAGTGGTGCTGTGGCTCAAGTGGTAGAGCACTAGCTTTGAGCCCAAAGAGGTTCAGGGACAGTGCCCAGGCCCTGAGTTCAAGCCTCAAGACAAAACAAAAATAAAACTTGGAATGGAGCTGTGGCTTAAGAGGTACAGCACTAGCCTTAAGCACAAAAGGCTTAGGGAACAGTACCTAGTCCCTGAATTTAAGCCCTAGGACCAGCACACACACACACACACACACACACACACACACACACACACATACACACACACACACACACACACAGTTTTTTAAAAAGGCATAATTGCCAAAAAGCAGAAACTTCAACTCCTGTACACACACACACACACACACACACACACACACACACACACAGTTTTTTAAAAAGGCATAATTGCCAAAAAGCAGAAACTTCAACTCCTGTTCCAGCTAGTAAGCTAGGTGAAGCTAGACCAACATTTAAACATTTTTAACCTTCCTTTTCTTCAGTTATTTTTGTTTGTTCCTTTGGCAAAGTCCAGCCTTTTGCCTGTCTTCTACGTGCTGTTAGGAGTTCCCATTGCTGGACAAGGTTTCTGTATACTATGGAATATTTCCAACGGGTATTTTCTTCCACTGAGTAGCAATTCCACTCTATTTCTTCATTTATAAGAATCTCCCAGCTCAACAAGAGAGTGAGCTGCTACCTTGCATTTCATTTCCTGCATGCATACCAACATGGCCCCTGGGGATATCTTTCATAAATCCTCATTGCCAAAGGTAAAAAGAGGACCCGCTCTATCCAAATAACTGACTTCAGAGCCCAGCCCGGACAGACACGCCTCCCACTCGTCTATCCTGTCTATCTTGGAGGAGGCTGCCTGTTGAGGAAAAGCCAAAGTGGGTATGAGAGTCCAGCAGTCCCCTGAGATTTTCAAAGGGACTTTTCCTGCTGGAGAAGCTGGCCTGGTGATCGAGGCTGTAGGGTCCAGGGTTTCTGGATAAATGGAGATCGTGACATTTTCAGCAGCATAGTTACAGCTGGAAAGGCCAGGCACCTCTTGCCCACTGTCACTGTGTCTCAGAACAGGGTGCTGGTAGGCCTGGCAGGACACTTTGGTGGTGGTGGTGATGACTGTGTGCAGGGCTGGTGGGGTGGTCAGGTACCTGCAGGGCTGCTCTGGGTTAGAATAAGGGCATGTGGCTTTGGCCTGGCATTGTCCATGGTCAGTCCTGTCCTCAGGACCAGCGTTTCCAAGAGTTGGTTTCCAGCCATGCTGTTGATTGAAGTCAAAGCTTCTTTCGTAGTTGCTATGGGCGTTGACATCATATTGTAGTGTGTTCAGATGAACCAGGTCTGTGTCCTTAAGGATATCCGTAGAGTCATTGCAAAGAGTCAGATATGGGCTTGAATTTGTCTGTCCAGAATTTACAAATTCATAGCTGCAAGAGGACCGAGGCAAATAGATCCTTGGGTTTGGACATTTCTGAAAGGGGAGTGTCGTGTCTTCTTGAAAGGAAGCCAGGTCGTAGTTAGCTCCAGCAGCCTCAGTGTTTGGGAAGGAAGGGCCAGACTGCCCTGGAATTGGGAAGCCGGTGTCAGACATTATATCAAATAGCTCAGGGGCCTCCAGGGGAGGCATGCTGTGGAAATGTCCCCTGGCATCTTGGTCCTGTCCTGCCTACAAAAGGACATAAATACAGACAGGTCACATGGAAGTGATGTGGACATCTTTCTCCATAACAACAGCCAGTCCCAAAAGATAACCCAAACCATTTCGCTGCAGGCACTGTGTGGGGAATCATGTGCTCCTAAAAGACCTGATTTGAGACTGGGCCCCGAGGTTGCTAATCCACCCACACTGGATGGATCTGAGGGGCCAGGGCTCCTGTTCTCCCCATGTGCTCCTAGGAGCTACTCAGAGCTGCATTCAAATCCTGACTCTGGCCAGGCATCAGTGGCTCATGTCTGTAAACCTAACTACTCAGGAGGCTGATGTCTGAGGATTGAAGTTCTCAGCCAGCCTAGGAAAGAAAGTCTGTGAGATTCTTCTCTCTAGTAAACTACTCAGAAAAAGCCAGAAGTGGTGCTATGGCTCAAGAGGTAGAGCACTAGCCCTGAGCAAAAGAAGCTCAGGGACAGTGTCTAGGCCCTGAATTCAAGCCCCAGAACCAGAAAAAAACAAATCTGGACTCTCTTTCTCTTGATTGAACATTGAATATTTTAAATATGGGGGCTCAATATATCTACCTTCTCGTAAGGCTCTGTAACCATTGAATGTATGAGACTCCTAGACCCATGCTAGGCACGTGGAGAGGCTCTAGTTCCCTAATCCTAACACTAACACTGCCGGTCAGCCATGCTTGGGTGGAGGAGCCAAATAGATCAAGTTGGTTAGGGAAATTAGATCTGTTTTTGTGTAAATAAGGTTAGAGTTTGAATTGTAAATGTCTCTCAAAGGTCTGTGTGTGCTTGGCCCCAGGGTAGTACTATTGGAAGTGGTGGAATTGTGATGGGGTGGGGCCTAGTGGGAGGTTTTAGGTGACTGAGGATATATCCTTAAAGGGGACAGTGGGACCCTGGCCTCATCCTACTGTTTCTGGGGATGAGGTACGGGCTCCCTTTGGCCATGCAATCCTTTATCATGATAGGCTGCCTTACCATAGGCCCAAAGCCATGAGCCAAGAAACCAAGGACTGAAACGTCCAAAACCAAGCCAACTCAAACCTTTCTTCTGTTTGAGTTGAGTGTCTCAGATATTCTGTTAAAGTAGCAGAAAGCTGACTAATACCAGGCACTGGCAGCTCACTCGGGAGATTGAGATGTGGAAAACTGTGATTCAAAACCAACCCCAAGCGGAAAAATCTTTGAGATTCAATTTCAATTCACTAAAGGCCAGGCTGGAAGCATAGCTCAAATGGCAGAGTATCAACTAACTGTGAGCAGGAAAGCCAAGGTGCTAAGTTCAAGCTCTGGAACAAAAGAAGAAACAGAAAAAAGGAAGGAAGGAAGGAAGAAAAAAGAGAGAAAGAAAGAGAGAAGGCAAAAGAAGAAAGAGAGAGACAAAGAAAGAAAGAAGATAGCAAAAAGAAAGAAAAAGAGAATGGAACAGGACTAAAAAACAAGAGACTAAAAGAAATACAAGGACCCTCTCATGGATAACTTGCTAACTCCTGGGTGATGCAGACATATACTTCCCCTTTTAGCACAATTTGCCTTTTGAGGTTTCAATTACAGTCAACCAACATCCAAAAATATTAAATGGAACATTCCAGAAAAAAATCTATACATTTTAAGTAACTTTAATTGTAGCATATTTTATAGTTTTATTATCTGTTACTACGCCTGATTTATGAAGTACATGTTACCATAGGTGTGTATGGACAGAAAAAAAGCATGTGATACTCAGGGCTGGGTACAATTTGCACTCAGGCCTCTACTGGGGGTGGCTGTCTTGAACACTCCCTCAAAGAAAAGAGCGCTTCACTCTAGTTCTCTCTGTATCACTGTGAAACAATCACCCTGGTATCACAGTATCAAAACCCATCCTCACTGCATCTACTTGGAGAGATTTTTCACTGTTTTAGTTTTTGGTGTGTGTGTGTGTGTGTGTTTTTGGTCGGTTGTGGGGCTTGAACTCTGGGCCTGCGCGCTGTCCCTCAGCGCTTCAGCTCAAGGCCAGTGCTCTACCACCTGAGCTACAGCATCACTTCCTTCACTGTTTTAAAGAAGCATTTAGAAGCTAGGTGCCAGTGGCTCAGGCCTATAATCCTAGCTACTCAGGAGGCTGAGATCTGAGGTTCACACTTCAAAGCCACCTGGGGCAGGAAAGTCTGTGAGACTCTTATCTCCAATTAATCACCAGAAAACTGGAAGTGGTGCTGTGGCTCAAGTAGCAGAGTACTTGCCTTGGGCTGAGGAGCTGAGAGACAGTGCCCAGGTCCAGAGTTCAAGCCCCATGACAAACCAAAAAAAAAAAAAGAAGAGAGAGACAGAGAGAGAGAGAGACAGAGAGAGAGAGAGAGAGAGAGAGAGAGAGAGAGAGAAAGAGAGAGAGAGAAAGAGAGAGAGAGAAAGAGAGAGAAAAGAAGCATTTAGAACTCCCTACCCCAAGGTTTAATGACATTTGTTGTAGAGATAGATGTTTTTTCACACCGGATCACACTTTTGTGATTCACACATGGCATTCATATTTCAGTCACTTATCAGGGTATCTTGCGATAAAAGTGAACACAAATCAGTGCACAGGCAGCTCTCTCTTACCTGGGTTTCTCGGACTCTCTTTCTCTGTGGCTGGTAGAAAGAGGCCATCTGCCTCTTGAGCATACTTCTTCTAGTTTCTGTCTCTGATTTACTCTCTGGTCTTGGGTGATCATGAACTCCCTTGGCCTGTGGTAAGGAAGAAATAAACCACCTGTTTGTGCTTCTAAAGGAAGATAGCTATTCTGGTAGCTGGTCAAAAACAGATTCATTAAGACTTTTCCAAGATACCAAGTTATTGTATTATTTTTTTCAGAATGACAAAAAATTAATGCAAACAACCATCATCAATAATAGACTTTTAAACGACTAACTTGTTTTACCATACTAAGTGAACTAGGACTTGATTCACTATATCGGGCCCTAAATGAGTGGAGTGGAGTGGTGCAGGCCTGTAATCCCAGCACTCAGGAAGCTGAGGCAAGAGGATCACAGATTTTAGGCTAGTCTAGATCACACAGTGAGATCATGTCTGCAAACAATCTTCTTTTAAAGGAGCATAAGCTGGGCACCAGTGGTTCATGCCTGTAATCTTAGCTAGTTAGGAGGCTGAGATCTGAGGATTGAGATTTGAAGCTAGGAAGGTCTGTGAAACTCTTGTCTCCAGTGAACCAACAAAATACTGGAAAAGTGGGTGTGGTTCAAGTGGTAGAGTTCCAGTCTTGAGCAAAAATAACTAAGGGATAATGCTCAGGCCTTAAGTGTGTGTGTGTGTGTATGTGTGTAAACAGAGAGAGAGAGAGAAAGAGAGAGCACATAGTATATAAGCTAGTGGTCACCAGAGGATCAACTGCTTATTTCTTTTTTAAAAAAATCTATCTATCTATCTATCTATCTATCTATCTATCTATCTATCTATCCATCCATCCATCTATCTATCCATCCATCTATCCATCTATCTATCCATCTATCCATCTATCTATCGATCGATCGATCGATC